GGCGGGCCGGGGCGGGGAGTGTGCCCCCGGCCTCAGGCGCGCACAGGGGACGCTCTGGCGTGGGGTGCACGCTGGGGGGCAGGGAATCCGGCGGGGGCCCTGGGGCCTCTGACTTCCTGTCCCTGTCCCTTGAGCAGTTTCCTGGCCTGTCAGCCTGCAGCACCAGCATCGTCCCCAGAGGCCTCCCTTCTGCTGAGGACCTTTCCCACACCGTTGGCCGCCGCCTGGGGACACCGTACGCGGGCCTCGCACCTGCTGCAGGGGTTCCAGAGCGCCCTCTGCCTCCCGGCACCTGCGCTCCAGGTCGGCCAGCTGCCCCTCCAGCAGCCTCCCGGGGAGGGCCAGCCCCTGGCTGTGCTTCCTGCTCTCGTCCAGTGTCTGGCGCAGTGCGTCCAGCCGCGCCTGCGGGAGAGGGATACGAGCTGGCTCCTGGAGGCATGGAAGGGGGGGCGGGGGTCCAGGGCACCTGTCTGTCGTGCCCTGTCCTGCCCTGCAAGTCTGCATCTCTGGGGCGGGCACAGGTGAGAAGCAGGGCAGCTTGTGGGTCGTTAGGCGGTTTGTAGTGTGGTCACGAGGAGTCCCTGGCTGTGCACATGGTTAGTACTTGGCTGTTGAACAAAAGGTCGGAAGGTCAAGTTCACCCAAAGGCACCTTGGAAGAAAGGCCTGGTGATCCACTTCCAAAAAATCAGCTTCTGAGTTGGAATCAACAGAGACTGACAGGGACCAACTGGGACCGACGGGGACCAACTGGGACCGACTGGAACTGACTGGGACCCACGGGAACCGACCAGGATCGACTGGGTGACAGCGAGTGTTCATGTGGCAACAGCCGTGCCTTCCGCCTGGTCACACTCTAGCATGTGGAGGGGTGGGCGGAGCCAGCAGCAGGCAGCTGTCCACTCCCCAGGTTTCCACACCAGAGTGGATGGTGGTTTGGACAAGAGAAGAGGATGTGACATAAAATTCAGAGACAGACTGGCCGGGGTGTGGGATGGGAGCTAGGGCTCTCCTGCGGACGCCCATTCTGGGCCTGGACAGCTGGGTCATCCAAGGTCCCGCTTCCTTTGGTGGGAAGACAGGATGGGAGCCTGTTTGGGGTGTAGGCTCAGAATTCAGTCCTGAGGGGCCACCCAAGAGTTGATGCCACGGGGGCCAGGGCACTGATGGGGCAGGGAGGGCAGGCTGCTGGGGAGGGGAGCCTGAGAAGGGAAGGGGCAGAGGGAGGTGGGAGTGGTGCAGAAGGCAGCCCGGGAAGGAAAGCACAAGGAGATTTCCAGAGGGAGGGAGAGGTTCCATGGGGCCAGGGGAAGGCTTGCTTAGGAAGAGAGAGACTGGGGACAGAACCGCCCACAGAGGGGCAAGCCTGCAGGTGTCCTGGTCTGGGGACAAAGTCATGTCGGGCGGTGCTCCAGCCCCCATGACATTTCATTAGCAGACGCGTGGTGTTAACAATGACTGTGATCGTCTTGGGTACTGTGTCCAAGCCTTTCCTCCGTTTTCGCCACGTGCTGGAAGCCATACTGCCCTGTCTTACACAGAGGGATGAGGGCCTCGTGTCCGTCCCCTGCTGCAGGGTGGGAGGGGGCAGGGGACCCTGCAAATGCATCCGGCACGTCGTTACTTTAATAAAGGAAAGGGGCGGACAGTGCTGTGGGAAAGCTGCCGTGTGACACCCACCCTGCAAATTTGAAAACGACCACTTTCCGCCTGCACACATTTCCCATAAAAAAGCAGAGGTTTCCTTCAAATATGGCTTCAATATTTCATGGTCCTTCTAAGAGGCCCCAAACCAATTACTGAGGCATTCTGACCCCCTTGTAATGACTCAGCTTTTATGGAATTCCAATGAACCGTGGTAATTGAATGGAGCTCCTTACTCCCGCCCCGCCCTGCCCCTTGGAGCCTTCCCTGGGGCTTGCAGCTCTTTGTCCCAGGGCACCACGGGAGGGCCTGTGGCTGGGGAGCTGAGAACGGCACAGAGGGCGCAAGCCCTGGCCTTCCCTCCCGGGTCTGGACGGGCTCCAGCTGCTTCCCTCTGGGGACTTGGGGCAAGGCTGGGGCCAAGGCTGGGCTCTTCTGTAGCTTGGGTGTGTTGCAACCTTGTGGGCTTTTGTCAAACCACAGCTGGGTGGGCCCTGGGCGTGCCGCAGAGACAATGAGATGCCCCCCCAGACGTGGGGCTGTCCAGAACAAGGTTCTCGCGTGGAAGTCTGTGTGGAGGTGGGGCGATGTCTCAGGCACCCCCCTGGGGTCGGGGGCAGGAGTGGTTCAGAGGTAGCACCCTCCCCTTCCCTGCGGGAGGCTGGGGTTTGATTCCCGGCCAGGGCACCTCGCCCCCAACCACACCGCCTGTCAGTAGAGCCTTGCATGTTGTGAGATGCTGAACAGGCTTCAGTACGTGTCCAGAGGAAGAGGGACTGGGGAGGAAGTGTGTGTCAGGGTCGTGTCCTGTCATCACACTTACTCAGTCTGTATGCTGAGCAAACACTGCGAGAAGCTGGGCCATCTGAAGAAGACCGAGGCATCAGAATTGGAGGAAGACGCATTAACAACCTGCGACGCACACATGACATAGCCTTGTTTGCTGACAGCGAAGAGGACTCAAAGCACTTACTGAGGATCAAAGACTACAGTCCTCAGTATGGATTATACCTCAACATGGAGTAAATAAGAATCCTCACAACTGGGCCAGTAAGGAACAACACTGTAAGTGGAGAAAAAACTGAAGGCGTCAAGGATTTCATTTTACTTGGATCCATAACCAATGCCCATGGAAGCAGCTGTCAGGAGACCACAGACATGTCACAGTGGGCAAATCTATTGCAAAAGATGAAAGAATTCAAAAGCAAAAAATGTCGCTTTGAAGACTAAGGTGCACCTGGCCCAGCCATGGTATTTTCAATCACCTCATTGTTGTTATGTGCTGTCGAGTTGGATCTGACTCATAGCAACCCCTCCTTGGGTTTCTGAGGTGGTATCACTATAGAAGTAGATTGCCCAACCTTCCTTCCCGGGAGTGGCTGGTGGGAGTGGAGTGGCTTAGGAAGACAGAGGCTGGGGACAGAACCGCCCACAGAGGGGCAAGCCTGCATGTGTCCTGGTCAGGGGACAAAGTCATGCCGGGCGGTGCTCCAGCCCGCACGACATTTCATTAGCAGACACGTGGTGTTAACAATGACCGTGCTCTTCTTGGGTACTGTGTCCACGCCTGTCCGCCAGCCTTCTGGTTAGCAGTCAAGTGCCTTAGGCACTGCCACCAGAGCTCCCAGAAGAGGATGTTAGAGATAACAGGTAAATGAATAAACCAGACAAAACAGACGTTGATTCTAGGAAAGACCAGTAAAATAAATGAACTGTTGGCAAGTCAGGTGAGGAGCAACAAACAAACCCATGAAGGACAGAAACAGCCGTAACCACAGACACAGACGACGGAGGTGATGTGGAGGCAAGGCCCAAACAAACCCTCAGCAGTGCACTTGAAATGTCAGATGGATGGCTACCACACAATGACGAAAACTGACCCCAGAGGAGATGGAGTGCTTAACAGACCAGGGATATAAAAGGAGTCACAAGGGAATAAAAGCCGGCCATTTCACGCAGCGAGGTCCCTGGGCGGCACACACCGTTTGTGCTGGCTGCTAACCCACAGGATGGCAGTTGAACTCACCCCTTGGCGCTGCAGAAGAAAGGCCTGGGACTCTGCTTCTGTGAAGGTCACAGTCAAGAGAGCCTGAGGGAGCAGTTGTACTGGGTCACACAAGAGGGCATTGGTGGTAGTGGGTTTGGTTTCCAGTTCCCTTAACATGTCAGCAGGAGTCGAATACTCACAGGTAAGTTCAAGTTGACTCTGGGAGCAAAGGGAGCTCTAGCGTTACTGAGACTGGCCGGTGACAGGTAGAGGTGGAGAGCCCACCTGCTCAGGTCAGGAAGATAAAATGATATTAACACCGGAACCTGATCAACACAGAGCCAAGGAACAGCCGCAGAACTTTGCCGTCAACCTCGCCGACTCCAATACCACTGTGGTTTGCAGTTCTGGACAGGGGCCCGCAGGCCTGCGCCTGGGATGGTGAGTGCATCCCGGGACTTCGCTGTGGAACCAGGGACTGATGTTCAGCATGACCCTGGAGGAGAGTTCTCTGGCAGAGTGGAGGGAGGGTGCGAGAGAGACTGGCACTGAGGGGCCAGAAGGGGCACGTTTGGGTGCAGGGGAGCGAGGGGGCCCTGGTCAGCCCCTCCCAGCAGTTGAGGCTGGGAGCCTGGCTCCCATCCCAAGGCGACAGCCTGGCGGCCTCTCCTGTGGGTGTGGGCAGGGCGGGGGTGATGCTGGGTGGCAGCCAGGCCCTCTGCCCGAGTCACGCTGGCTCCGAGGCTGGCCAGCTGCGGGTGGGCCTCCCGGGGGCTGGGCTGGTGCGTGTGCTGGTTCTGCATCGTTGTTCTATGGGGTCCCTGGGCTCACCCTGGGAACAGGGAGGGATTTGCTTTCCAACAAGAATCTCACTGTTTGCACAGCACAGCCTACCATTTAATTAGAAAAGTATGTTTTTAATTAACTTTCTCTTGACAAATACACTGGCTCAGGCGAAACAAGGAAAAAGCCATCCAGGCAAGGGAAGGAAGCTGTGCCCAAGGTGGGCCTGGTCTGGGACACGCTGGCGGCTGGCAGGGGACGGAGAGGTGTTGGCCTGTGCTGGGCACGACAGCCTGGCCTGGGCCTGCCGGGCCATGGGCAGCCCAGAGGAAACACTCGCCCCCCACCCCGTTTCCCTGCTTGGTTAGCTCTTAGTCCAAGGTGCCTGGGACATCTGGTGAGATGGGGACTTGGATGTACAGATGTCCACCCAATGGCAACAGCTTACAGAAGCTGGGAAAACTGCCCTCCAAGCTGGAGACAGGGTGTGTGGATTCCTTGGGGGGGGGGGCAGAGCTGACTCCAGGGAGCCCTCAGCACTATTGCTCCTTGTGAGAAACTGCTCCCCCAGAGTAGAAGTTGGGAATGTCCCAGGTACCCTGACTCGGATGGGTAGGCTGGAGGTGGGTAGGGGGCAGAGGGGGAGGGCCCGCGGTATCCCACTGGGCCTCTGTGTTGAGGGTCATGGCAGGTGAGGGGCTAGGACCCCTAGCAGGAAGTGGGCGATGTCACTTGGAGCACAGTGTCCTCATCCTCTATGTTCCTGGCAGGGGACATGCTGCCCCACGGCTGGTGGTCCCACTCTCCCTGGACTGCAGGGTCTCAGAGTCCTGCCTTTCATGGGGCCTGGCACGTTGGGACAGGGACACAGGAAGTCTCTGATGGGTCCTCTCCATAGCCAAGTTCACATAAGACCATCCTCCCCTTGACACACGTCCACGGGAAGGACCACAGACTATGCAGCTGTCAGTCAGGGCTCAGAAGCACAGAGAGGCCCATCTGACTAGAGAGAGGCGGTACCGTGAGGGTCAGCTGCACGGCTCGGAAGATGGGAGCCGGCCTTCCGCCGACACGAGGGGCGGTGCGGCTGGGGATGGGAGCAGGGCGTCCTCCCGAGATGAACCCACAATACTGAGAGAGAGGGCCGTGGAGGTGGGGAAGCAGGTGCGGCCTGGCAGGTGAGCAGAGAGGACAGGCCACCAGGGTCGGGCTTTATCGACCCCAGCAGAGGAGCGGGGAGGAGGAAGCATCGCTACAGGGGAGGACACGTCTGTTCACAGAAGACAGAGCTGCGTGCGGACGGAGAGGGCTCACCGCCCAGGGGAGGAGAACGGGGGAAACAGACCAGCGTGGGCACCACAGAGCCACTGGCTTCCACCTGGGACATAGACAGCCGGAAAGAGCCTGCAAGGAAAGACCGAATAACTTGAGAATCCTCCCGTCTCTCGAACCCACGTGGGACTGAGGCCAGAGGCCAACAGCTGGCCCGGAGGCGGAAGACAGGCTCCTCCCAGACAGGTGGAAGGTGGGCTCTGAGTCACCTGTGTCCGCGTGACTGAGGGTGGTGGGCTGTCAGTGGTGGTCATGAAGCCTTGGGCCAGAAGGTCTACCATGTGGGCTCTGAGATGGGCAGGAACACTGGCCCCTTTGTGACACCAGGCATACGTGACGTTATGTGGCAAAGGGGTTGTGCGGGTGTCACCGAAATGAGACTGATGCAGCAGCAATAAGTGTGGGCTCAGGTCCTGGCAAGGATGAGGATGTCGGAGGACCTGGCAGCGTCTCCTCCCATCCGACCTCAGGTCAGTGGGAGTCGGAGCCCGTGGGACCACGAGTACACCACAGAAAGGGTCTGACAGGAAGCATCGAGCAAGTACAGGGAGCAGAAAGCCCTCCCGGTGAGCAGAGGCCGGGTCCGTAAACTGTTGCGGTGCTCGTCAGGAGGCAAATCCCCTAAAACAGGCAGAGCCTGAAAGGTGGGACCAACACCAAGGACAGGGGACGGAATGATGGCTGGGTCCATCAGGACCGAACTCACAGGGTGAGGGGAAGGGAGAGCAGCAGAGAGGACACTGACGTCCAGACCCAGGTAAGTGCCGGCAGAAACCATGTGAGGGCACCACAGAGGCCACTCCATGCGGCAGTGGAGTGGAGGCACTTAACGCTCTGAAGAGCAAGGCAGAGAAATGTGTGCATCCAAGGCCCTCAGGAAGAAAGGGGATGCTGACAGGATGGAAGCCAGGAAGTCCACACCCCATGCTCAGCTCTGACGCACTCAGGAGACAGACCACACATGAGTGTGTGAGTGAGTGGTTTCCATGGTTGATTAACAGGTGCATTTCAAAATGTGTCACTTGCAAGCAGAAAGCATTATTTCTAAGTGTCCATGGAAACATCTTCAAAAATACTAGATGTCACCTCCGGGGAAGACCAACTGCTGAAAGCAGAGACGTACACAGAACAGGCACGCCAGCGGCCACGGAGCCATGGGGTGGGCGTGCTAGTGACCACAAGCTGAACGTACAACTGAGAATGAGAGGTGGTCTCTGGCATCAGCCATTCCTGGCTGCTCTGCCAAATGCCACATACGTGATCATCCCACGGTTCCAAGGGCAGACGCTCAAAAACGGCCTCCAGGGCTACAGTCATGGCAGCAGGGGGTTCCTTCTGGAGGCTCTGGGGAAGAAGCCAGTTCCCCGGCCTCAGCTTCTACAGGGTGCCTGCACTCCTTGGTTTATGGAGTTCCTCCATCCTCAAAGCCAGCACCAGTGGGCCATGTCTGCCTCTGCCCTCCCACATCCCTCTCATAAAGACCATGTGATGATGCTGGAAGGAGCCCTGGTGGTGCAGTGGTTAAGCACTCACTGCTAACTAAAAGGTCAGTGGTTTGAACCCACCAGCTGCTCCAGATGAGAAAGATGAGGCAGTCTGCTTCCATAAATATGACAGCCTTGGAGACCCTGTGGGCAGTTCCACTCTGTCCTCTAGGGGCGCTGTGGGTCAGAATGGACTCCAGGCAGTGGGTGTGGTTTGGGCTTTGCTTCCATAAAGATGACAGCCTTGGAGACCCTGTGGGCAGTTCCTCTCTGTCCTCTAGGGGCGCTGTGGGTCAGAATTGACTTGATGGCAGTGGGTTTAGTTTCTTCTCTTTTTTGATGATGATGGGCCCACCTGTATCTGCCACAATAATGTCCCATCTCAGGCTCAGCTGATCTGCAGTGCCAATCCTACCCTTGACCTTAATTCCCTAATGGAAATTGAACATCTTTGTGGGCTACTATTCTGCAGCCATAATGATATTTTTTTTTTTCAAATAACGCTTGGATTAAAGTGTCATATAAAAACCATTTTTTTGTGTGTGTGTGTGCCATTGAACCAATTCCAACCCACAGCACCCCTAGAGGACAGAGTGGAACTGCCCACAGGGTCTCCAAGGCTGTCAGTCTTCACAGAAGCGAAGTCCACACCACACCCACTGCCTGGAGTCTATTCTGACCCACAGCACCCCTAGAGGACAGAGTGGAACTGCCCCCCAGGGTCTCCAAGGCTGCCATCTTCACAGAAGCAAAGCCCAAACCACACCCACTGCTGTGGAGTCCATTCTGACTCACAGCGCCCCTAGAGGACAGAGTGGAACTGCCTATGGGGTCTCCAAGGCTGTCAGTCTTCATGAAAGCAAAGCCCAAACCATGCCCACTGCCGTGGAGTCCATTCTGACCCACAGCGCCTCTAGAGGACAGAGTGGAACTGCCCACGGGGTCTTCAAGGCTGTCATCCTTATGGGAGCAGATGGCCAGGTCTTTTCTCCTTCGGGATTCGCCCCACAGGCCCTTCATTTAGCAGCCAAGTGTTTAACCAGTGTGCACCATGGCTCCTTAAACAGCTACTGTTTAGACAAGAACCAGAACGAGCATTTCCTTCCCTCCTACCCCATCTGCCCCGGAGACAGAGTGAGTGGCACGGCGTGGACAGCCACTGCTGCAGGTCTGAGGGCAGACCCCCGCCTGTGTCTGCATGCCTCTTCCTGCACATGGAGGGGCTGGGTCCTCCCTGACCTGTGCCCCTTGGACCTTTGTCTTGGCACCTGTCCCCAGTGCCCCTGGCTCAGCTCCAGCTGCAAGACCCCTTGGCTCCTCAAACTCAGAAGGTTCAGAATGGAACACAGCCCAGCCAGCCCCCGTCTCTGCACGTCTCCTGGGTCCTGCCACCGTTCCCGGCCTGCACCCTCCACTGACCCTCCAGCAGAGGGGCCTCCCTCAGGCAGAGCCCTCCTTTGCCTGCAGGTCTCCCTCCCAGGCTGGTCGGCATCACCTCTGAAGCGGCCCCTTATCCTTCCAGTGGCCCGGCTCCGTCCCGGGCAGGACACGCCGCCCCCAGCCCCACAGGAGTGAGAGCCCCAGGTCTGTGTGCTGACCCGGAGGGACTGTGACACCTTCTGAGGTCGGGGCTCTGCAGGCACCCAGTCGCCGCTTCCACAGACCTGAAGGCCGTCGCACTCTCTCCTTAGGAAGCTGGCCGCTCTAGCACTGCTGGGACCACTGGCCTGCCCACCTGATGCCTGTCCCCTCTTCTCCCCGCTCACTTCATCTTTGCAAGGGTGGGGTGGGGACGGGGCCGGTGGTCCTGATGTCCTGACACCTGGGGTAGCTGCCTCAAAGGGTGGCTGTTTTCCATCCTTCTTAGAAGCTTCAGTGGCACGCTGGCCCATCCCACTGTGGGGACCTCAGCATGTCCCAGCGGTCACTGAGACACGTGACCGGCTACAGTATGGGCCTCGCTCAAATGGTGCAGGAGGGCCCGGCTCTGGAGCCTGCACCTCACCCCGTCCACGCAGCTGACCGCTCCCTGCCTGGGCCAGAGCATGGGGACGGCTCATCAGGGTCTCTCCCCAAGTCTGTCCTGGGGAGACATTCCCTTCAGAATGGCTCTGGGCCCTGAAGCAGCACACGCAGGACCCCACGGGGAGCTCTCAGGCCCAGGCTGCCATCGCCCCAGAGCCACGGAAGAAGGAAAGGCTTGGAGGCCTGAGGCCGGAGGCCTGGTGTCTGGCCCCAGCTCTGCCCGTCACTCCCAGCTGTGCCACCAGGACCAGGTCACTCCCCTGCCTCAGGCCTCAGTTCCCCTCTGCACCAGACAACTCTGCCGTGGGTAGCCCCAGGCGCTGGTGCCTTGTTGCAGTGAGTGCTGGGGGCTGGTGCCCCACATGGCTATCCCCTCCAGCCTTGCCAGCCATGCCTCTGCCCCCAGGGACCCACCTGGAGGCGGCACCTCTCCTTCTCTGCCGCCTGGGTGCTCACCAGGTGCTCCGCCCGCAGCCTCCGGAGCTCCTCCTCCTGCAGGGCCCTTGCTCTGCTCACGCTGCTCACTTGGGCCTCAGCCCGGCGCTGGCCTGGGGGCACAGGGAGTTGGCTCACGTGGCTGCCAGGGCCCCGGGGGTCGGTGGGGCTACCGTGCAGCCCCCTACCACCACTTCACAGGCGTGCAAACTGTGCCTAAAGCTCACGGGTTCTTGGGGGCTGGCTGGGGGGTCCCCACTCCCCCTGGACTCCAGGTCCCTCTTCCCCACCCCTGCTGCCTGCTGTCCCTCTGTCCGGCCATCTTTCCTTCCACAAACGTCTTTCATGCCTGACTCGTGCCAGGCTTGGGGCAGGCCCTCCTGGGCTGACCTTCTAATGGGAGGGGGCAGGAGGCAAGTAAACACAGGAGTGTGACACGGTGGTGGCAGGGGCTCCTCGAGGGCAGGTGTCACTGGGCAGAGGCCTGGACGAGCAGAGGCACGAGCTTCGAGGCAGCTGGTGCACAGGCCTTGCGGTGGGGCTGCCCGCTCAGTGTGGCTGGAGGTGCCAGGAAAGCCTGGCACAGGGGCTGGGGCCGGACTGGGGAGGACCCGTGAGGTCTCTGGATGTCACCCCCCCCCCCAGTGTGATGGGAGAGGAAGCTTGCCTGGGCAGGAAGCTGTGATCACCCCCAAAGCTCCCACAGCCTCCCACTCTCAGGGCAGGGCCCCTCACAGGCAGTCCCTGGGTGGGGTGGGGGTGGGGTGGTCACCTTCCTCTGCCTCGCCCAGTGCTTTCTGCAGCTGCGCGGAGCGGCTCTGGGCTCGAGCCCGTGCACTCTCTGCCTCGCTCAGCCGGCCGCTCAGGCTCGCTGCCCGGCAGCGTGCGTCGTCCTGGTGGAGGGAGAGGCCAAGGGCAGTGCGACGGCCTGCAGGGTGGGGGCAGCCCTGAGGGTGGCCAAGGTGATCACCAGCCGAGGGACGGGGCAGGCAGGGGCCAGATCAGGCAGTTTCTGCCCCAGGTGGCTCACTTCAGCAGGGCCCACGAGAGGCGGGTTGGGGCGGTGAGGTGGGCAGTGCTCGGGGCCACAAGGGGCAGGTGGGTGCAGTGGGGTGGCTGCAGGGAAGGCAGGGTGGTGTCAGGAGGCTGAGCTGGGGAAGACAGGAAGGACTGGGGTGTGTGGGGAGCCTGGAGTGGGGCATGTCGGGGGGCACTTGGGGGCTTTGCTGTCCGGTCTGGTGGGCATAGATCACAGCCCACGGAAGGTGGCCTTGACAATGTGACCTGAGGGTCTCCGCAGCCCAGGGACGGACGGACAGGTGTTCCCCTCCTGCCGTGTGTGGGGCAGGGGCCGTTGAGGGCTCACCCGCTCTCTCTGGGTGTGCCACAGCTTCTGCATGAAGTCCCTCAGTGCTCTCTGAACACAGGCCACGCTGAGGACCTCCAGGCCATCGTCCCCAGGGCCAGGTGAGGAGCCAGCAGGGGGGCTGGCGCTCTGCCACCTGGTGGGAGTCTGGGAGCTGTCGGAGCCTGTGGGAGAGTGAAGGCTGGAGGGATGTGGACGAGGGCATGGGACACAGGGACAGCCACACAGGCAACCTCTCTCCCTTAGCCTTTGCTGTGCTGCCATGGGAAGCTGGGGGTCCAGGCCCCTGAGACTGGCCCGGAGAGGGGGCCAGGGTGCCCAGGTGGGATGCAGAGCCAGGACAGAGGGGTACAAGGCTCTGACCTTTGGTGGGGGAGCCGGGCCGCTCGGGGGAGGCTGTGGGGCTCCGTCCCCGGAGCCCGAGGCTGCGGCGCAGCGTGGAACACAGCCGGTCCAGCTGGGCCTCTGTGTCGCGCCGGGCGCCCTCTGCCCTCGCCAGCTCCTGCTCCAGGCCGTGCATCCGAGTGCCAGTGCTGTGCAGGCGTGCCCGGAGCCCCTCGGCCGTGCTGTCCGCCTGCCGCAGCCTCTGGGCCACGCTGTGCACCTCGGCTCGCAGTGCCTGCTCGGCCGCCCGGCTCTCCTGGACCTGCTCCCTGAGCTGTTTCTCCTGGGCCTCACGGCCGGCTTCCACCTCCGCCAGCTTCCGCTGCAGCCCTAGGACCTGCAGGAGGGACATGGGGGGCTCAGAGGAGGCCAGTGCCAGGGTGAAGGGGGCCAGCAGGCTGGGAGAAGAGCCTCGGGTCGCTGGCCCAGCCCCACCCATTTGCGCCACAACTTTGGCCTCACCCACCCCACCACTGACCTCGCAGGCCACAGCTGGGACCCCGGACCTGGCCCCCAGCCTGCACCTGGTAGAGACAGCAGAGCTCAGATGGGGCAGGGCACCCCCAGGACCCTGAGCACCTGCCTGCTACCTGCACCGCAGCCCTTCAGCAAATAGGACGGGAGGGCCTGCTGGTACTGACCAGAGAGTCTTTGGAGCTGGCTAGGGGGCTGTGAGCACAGGGTGTGTGTGTGTGTGTGTGTGTGCGCAAGCATGGGCACAGGGACATAGGTATGTGTGTGTGATGTGTGAACACACAGAGGAGTCTGGGTGTGTGTGGGAGGACATGGGCCTGAAGGAGCCTGTGCTGGGGGCTCAGAGCTCTGAGCTCTACCTGGGCAAGGCCCCGTCCTGTGTTTCTAACGCTGAGCTCCGGGTCCAGGGGGCGGGGTGGCAGCTTTGGCGCTGGGTCCATCAATGTCCCTTCCCCGATGTGTGCAGGTCCCGCTGAGCGGCAGGGGTGCTCGTGAGACCCCGCTGCCCCTGCCCTCCCGAGGCCTCGCCGTGGGGGCCCTCTCCTGGGCAGGGCAGGCCTGGCCTGAGTGGCCCGCCTGGCCTCACCCACCTCCTTCCTGGCCGCCTTGCAGGCCGCCTCCAGCCCGACCGCCCTGCTCTGCAGCTCCAGTGCCTGCTGCCGGCTGCGCTGCTGCTGCTGCGTGTCCCGGGCGGCTCGGGCCTGCAGCGCACCCACCTCCCGGCCCTTCCTCTGGGCCTCGGCCTCCAGCACCTTCACCTGTGGGTGTGGGACCATGGGGAGCAGATCCCTGAGCCCTGCCTCTGCTCCCATGTACCGTCCCCTCCCTGTGACCAGTTCTGGGCCAGGGCCCCCACATGACCTCTCCGGAGCTGCTACCCTTGGCCATCGCACAAACATGCACCCGGTGCCCCGCTCTGGGGCCACAATGCTCTGTGGGGAGCCAGGTGCTCCAGGAGGTACCCCGTGCTCCGCGGGCAAAGAGGGGAGCCTGGGGGGGGGTGGCCTGGGGACTGTGCAACTGTGCTGAGGTGTGCAGGCTCTGAGTCCCGGCTGTCACCAGCTGTGTGACTTTGATCCGATCACCTCACCTCTCTGTGCCCCAGTTTCTTCAGGTGGGAAATGAACAAGGGATTAGACCCTCTGTGGCAAGTAAATTGTGTATCAACTTGGCTGGGCCTGGCTCTGAGTGACTGGGCAGCTGGGTGTAGTTATTGCCCAGAATAAGACTGGTAGCCAGCTCCGTGGTGGAATCTACTGCAGCAGCTAAGTAGCTGCCTTAGGGATGGGGTCTGCTTCCTGTAAGTAAGGAGAAGCATTGAGAAAGGTCTCTGCAGCTTTTTGGCATGTTTGACCTTGCATGTAGCTGAGTCTTCATTTAGCAACCTGCCATGCTTTGCTGATCTTGGGACAGTCTCTGGACTTGAACTAGTGGCCTGCTGTGTTGCTTGCTAATCTTGGGACTGTGCCATTTTACTTGTCGACCTTGGGGTTGTCGACCTCAGCAGCCAGCAGCTGTCTGAGTTAAGAGAAGCCTCCAGCTTCAGTGGGCTGGGAGTAGGAGGCAGAGCTGAAGCCCAAGGTTGAGGGCTTTCATCCAGCCCCTAGAGCCTTGCACTTTGAACTTGGACTTCTAGCCTCCTAAACTGTACCAGAATAAACTCCTGTTCGTTAAAGCATCTGCTTGTGGCATGTCTGTTAGAGCAGCACTAGAGGGCCAAAACACCTCCTCAAGGATCACTGTGTAGACCAGAGGAGAACACCCACTGCTGTGGACCTGCCCACAGGGTCTCCAAGGCTGTCAATCTTCACAGAAGCAAAGCCCAAACCACACCTACTGCCGTGGAGTCCATTCCAACCCACAGCACCCCCAGAGGACAGAGTGGAACTGCCCACGGGGTCTCCAAGGCTGTCAGTCTTCACAGAAGCAAAGCCCAAACCACACCCACTGCCTGGAGTCCATTCCGACCCACAGCGCCCCTAGAGGACAGAGTGGAACTGCCCACAGGGTCTCCAAGGCTGTCAATCTTCATAGAAGCAAAGCCCAAACCACACTCACTGCCCTG